AAAAAAAATCTACGTTGCGTTGGAAATACGGCAGCTCTGAAAAATCGGAACTTCAATGTAGAATTGCATCTGCTTTGAATGAGAAAGACAAGGATCACAGAAGTTGTTAAGAAGTAGCAAGACGAAGATTGTTCGACGCGACATAAAGCGGGGTTTTACTAAAAATAAGTTGAATTAACGCAGCAAATTGGTAAATTACTTAATAAAAATATTGCCTGAAGGGATGAAATATTAGCATTGTGATGTAAATGTTTAAAAGCGTGCAAGCCACGTCACATCAATAGTTTGGATTCTTTGTTAAATCGTTTCAAGGGGGAAGGGGATTGATGTGCTGCTGTAAATAGGCGAAAAATAAAAATGGCCATCGCAAGCTTGCCAGACTTATAGATATGTGTACTTAGCCGCAGTAAAAATTGTTTAACGAGTTTTGAATAATGTAAGCTCAATATATTCTTTATAACTTATGTGTTATATTTTAATTCACACTTAATAATAATAAGGTATTTCTACTTCGTATAGAAATTATGTGCGATATTTTAAATGCATCTCTGTATAGACAGCGCGGTTTGCACTTCAGCCTTCTCACTTTCATTTTATCTTTGTGTGTACTTTTGTGTTTTTCTCTTGCTTCTAGCTCGAACATTTATTTTGTTCAAAAATATTGTGAGAGAAAGCAGGATGACATGATTCGCACCCGGTGTGCAGATTTGCTTCGTTTCGTTTTTATACGACCGTACTTCTCATTCCTGTTCCTGTCATCGTTATTCATTCTCGTAGGTTTCGTTCCATATTAAAAAGTTTTCCTCTAGATTGTGAAGCCGTTGACTAACTTTTAGGATAAAGTTTGCATGTAGGCGGGAGTTTAAATTATAATGTAAGTAAAATCCTTAAGACTGATTGTGGATCCTGGGCAAATCGTTTTGGGCAATAGTAACTAAACTGCAACGGGAGATCCTTATTTTCCTTGCGCAGCTGTGGCTTTTGCTCTGCGGCTTGGCGTGTTCGTTGCTGTGAATTGTACGTACATATATGTGTTGGAAATCTGCACGTTCGCCAAACTAGTAATTCTGCTTCGATAGAAAAGCTAGCCAGCCATAGTGGAAAGTTTCGAAAGAATAGTTTACTTCCACGATACAATTATTATTATAACATGGTTAGAAGTTACCATAGTTCGTATATAAGTCTGATGCCACCTAAGTAGCAAATCGGTGTAATGAAAAATATACTTTAGTGAATTGAATACAAACGAAATTTCGAATACTTCCAAACTACAAAGCAAATCATGGGTATCCACTGACATAAGGCAACCCTTTTATTTGATAAGTTTTTCTAATAATCTGGAGCTTTACACCCTTTGTTGAATTACACTGCTTCAAATTCTTGTTATATACTAAGAAGAAAAACGCCCAAAGGTTTTTATTATCGTTAAAAGTTTGCAGCATGCTACTGCAGAAATAATTTCTCTAGTAAAAAAGTAGTAGACTCTAGTTCCGACCTTTAAAGCATTGATTACTATATAGTCGGTGAATTAAATCCCATTGTCATTGATGTATCAATGAAGTCTCTAAAACTAATGTATAGTTTTCAATTGTTTATATTAGGTATTAGTGAGATATTACAAAAATATGTAATTTTTTTTAGTATATACATTTATTTTAAATCTTTACCTTTTATTTTCATCAGATTACGAAAGCTCGTCTTAATCTTGCTTCTACTTACTGATGTTAATTTATCCAACCGGTTCTTCGTATAGTGCACTACAACTTCTATGCCATATAAAAACGTTAGAGGAGTACTTTATTCAGCTATCAAAACGTTTCAAGAATAGACCGTAAGGCGATGTATTGGTTTTGAAACATATTCACAACATTAGTCCAAAATAGGAACTTATCATGGAAAAACAAACGACACTCCATTAGGGTAGATAGAAATGATTTTTATAAAAAAAATATAAATAATATTCACTGAAGGAAAAGCTGTGGAGATCCTGAAGGCGGCCGTAAGTGTTGGAGAAATATTTAGCCATTCAAGTATTCGATTCCTTTTGTTCAATAAACTTTTCTTAATTAAAAGGAATAGTTTAAGAAAAAGACGAAAGTTAAAATTGGCGTAAAAATTGATATTACTGAATATATGGTTGTAATGGAGGCAATGAGAGATACTTAGAATATATATAACTGTTAGATTGCGCACAAAACAGGCGATGGTAAAACTACGTTTGAATGAAATCTAAAATTATATTTTGTACCAAGTCAAGCATTAAAAATAATCACAGCTTAATTAGCTCTTGGCACTTGATAAATAGTACTGGAAAATTTTGTCTCTGTGATCGTAAAAACTGATTGTATCAGTGGTGGCAAACGTAAAGCAAAATAGTTCGGTGTTAATAAAACTACATAAAAATGTACATGATGGACGAGTCACAACCGAAAACGTTGTACGTTGGTAACTTAGATGCATCAGTATCAGAAGAGCTACTGATAGCACTATTCAGTCAAATGGGTCCTGTCAAAAACTGCAAGATCATACGGGAGCCCGGTAATGATCCATATGCTTTCATTGAATACTCGACTTATCAGGCGGCAACTACTGCATTGACTGCAATGAATAAGCGGTTGTTTCTGGATAAAGAAATAAAGGTGAGTGTAAAGATATAAAAGAATCAGCTAACAATGTACTTCATGTAAATGTTTTTTTTTGCGCATAAGGTTAATTGGGCCACTAGTCCTGGGAATCAGCCAAAAACAGATATTAGTTCACATCATCATATTTTCGTTGGTGATCTCAGCCCAGAAATCGAAACAGATATGCTACGTGAAGCATTTGCGCCCTTTGGTGAAATATCCAATTGCCGTATCGTAAGAGATCCACAAACAATGAAATCGAAAGGCTATGCTTTTGTATCATTTGTCAAGAAAGCAGAAGCGGAAAATGCGATACAAGCTATGAATGGCCAGTGGATAGGTTCACGTTCTATTCGAACGAATTGGTCCACAAGAAAACTGCCACCACCGCGTGAATCCAGCAAATCTGGCGGTGGCATGGGCATGAAAGGACATATTCGACATACTTTTGAGGAGGTGTACAATCAGTCAAGTCCAACAAATACCACCGTTTATTGTGGAGGCTTCCCGCCGAATGTTATTAGTGACGAAGTAATGCACAAGCATTTCATTCAGTTCGGTCCCATACAAGATGTACGCGTTTTCAAAGACAAAGGTTATGCTTTTATTAAGTTTGTCACTAAAGAATCAGCAGCACGCGCCATTGAGCACACTCATAATTCGGAAGTGCACGGCAATCAGGTGAAATGCTTTTGGGGCAAAGAAAATGGTGGTGATAATTCAATGAACAACGTGGCGGCAGCGTCCGCGGGGGTAGCAGCTGCAGCAGCAGCTGCGGCCGCTGCCGCCGGCACCATTATAACGCCAGGTATACCGACAACTCCGCAACAAGCGGCAGCAGCCGCCGTAGTGGCCAATGCAGCTGCGGCCGGGGCAGGAATACCAGCTCAAATGATGACACAACAGCAGCTGGCTGCTGCCGCGCAGTACCCCTACGCGGCAGCATACCAACAAATGGGTTATTGGTACCCGCCTACAGTAAGCTTTTAAAATTTACATAAGGATGAAGAAGAGAAAATTTGAATAATTGCTTAGTTGTTTACACCGTTACAGGGCTATCCGGCCGCTCAAATGCAAACTCAGTACATGCAACAAGGTTACTATCCGTACACTTATGCTAGTGCTCAACAAGCCGGAGGTATGCCTGTATATATAATACAATATCACAGATTCAGTTAATATATTTTTTTTTAATTTAGCCGCAGGATACCGCATGGTACAGCCAAACGTCGCCTGGGGAGTTCCGGGTACTGTAGTGCCGGGCGTAACAGCAGCCACTGCCGCAGCTGCTGCAAATGGATCACTGGCACCGCAGATGATGTACAGCGCTGCCATGCCTCAGTACCAGGGTCAATGAAGCTGATATGCCCGTCATAGTTGTTGCAGCAAGTGGGTGATACGCAAGGTGAATATATTGAAAGGCATCAGAAAACCACACCGCGCATATACATGTCCAAAATAAGATTTTGAGGGCATGTAATATCAAAAAAGCTCAAGTTGTGACAAATAAAATCTAATTATATCCTCTTTTGGTGCGTTATCATGGACAGCATTATTTCCGTATAATGATATTATAATGCTCACCCCCCAACAACTGCAACAATCGCAAAACAATTAAAGTGACTCTAATCTCAAAACTGAATCATAGCCCTCTTTGTCTCTAATATTGGATAGATAAAGAGAACAGAATAAAATTGGAATGTAAAGAATATATAGGTTGAGAAATACCGCAGCCGATATATTAAGCATGGAAGGAGGTCATTTCATCCAATTGTTTTATATGCAAGCGGTTAAAATCAGTTTCTTAAAACGAAAAGAAAAAACGTACAACGGAAACTTCAAAACTTGTAATTTTGGCTACAATCTCGAAAGGAAAACAAAGATTATAAAGAGAAGTTAGAAATTAGGTCGTTGTTAAATAGATTATATTTAAAATAAAGAGAACTTAATTATATCAAACGATCGAAGAGAACTACGAAAAGTTACAAATTATTGCAACAACAAAAACATACTTTGCTATGAACATAACATTTGTAAGCAATTTTACTTAATATAGCGAGATGATTTTTTTTACTTTTCAATAGATAACACAGCTTCAGAGGGCAAAGCACATCACTTCGAATCTATTTTGAAATGGGAAAATGTGGCATGAGCTCCATCAATCAGGACACCAACAACAAAAAAATATTGTAAGAAACTATTGCAAGTGGAACTTGGCCGGGCGGGTAGAGTAAATGATCTAATCCATTCTACATTAAAAGTAACAAGTTAGGATATTTAATTTAAAGGAAAAATAAACTTAGAAGAAAAATGTGTGACGAGCTTTACAGTAAGTACGATGTCTACACACACTATTAAGCGTGTTTGTTACCCGCAAAAAAATAAACGAAACGTAGTTATTAAGTAAGAGGTGAATACGTTGAATGGATGCAACCGAAACAAAAAAAAAATTAATGAAAGATGAAGATATTTCATTAAAAAAAGTGAATGCGATATACATATGTACATGCAAAATATGAAAAAATAAAATAAAATAAAAAAAGTCATGCAATATAATCTTTTTCCTTATTTCGCCACATAATAACGAACGCATCCCGGACATGACGAACCTTATAAATTCGAAAGTTGTAGAGAACCTACATTGACTACGACGAGTTTATGGTGTCTGAACAAAATTTAAAGTCGATGTCTATTAGTGTTATTTATAAATATTTATTAGGGCGTATTCTTGTTTTCGTACGAATCGAAAATTATGAAAATTTCCTATAATTTTCTAAACAAATCTTTAAAATTTTCGATTCTTACGAAAACGAGAATACACCTCATTATATTCCAAATTTGTTATGTTTTGATATAATTCCGTGTATTCGGGTAAATGCAGACCTAAAATACCATTGGCATACATAGTATGTATGTACATACATACATACATTCATATGCTAGACGCTATTTAATAAATTAATATTGTTAATGAAGCGAGGAAATATTATTATTTTTGTTTTTATTGATTGATTGATTTATTTAGTAATAATTTGATTACGGTTTGTGTGACAACATCAAGGCGCACACCACAAATCGGAGGAGAAGCTCGGCCAAACACTAACATATGTGTAAGCGCCAATCTATTATTATTATTAATTACAGTGATACTATGGGCTTGTTCGAGTTGCAGTCACAACCGCAGTGTTGCGTGAATTATTAAAGTATCACGTTCTGTGTGAATTTCTGGCAATGTATTATCAGTTAAGCAGTTGGAACAATGTTGCCATTTTTCATCAGTACGGCAGTAATGCCACTTTTATTACGTGCCTCGAACAGGCCCTATTTACCATAACATTATTTTTAGCTGTCTAAACTATTTTCTCACAAATTCTATACATTTCTTTTTCATTTCTTTTAAATAAGTGTGTATGTTTTTCTTTTTTGGTATCTTCATTTAACATCTTTAAAAACCTTTATAGAATACATTATTCTGTGATGACGCCTTGCCAGTTTCTGTAGTCTTAAGTCAGTTGCGTTTCTCCAACGTAGATGACCGATATGTAGTCCGGCATTTTACCACTAGTAGTCAGATATACAAACATTTTAAACAACAATTTATTGGGAAAGAAACCTAAGAAATTTAATTTAAAAAATTTTCTTTTAAAATAATCTTAGCTTAAAAAAATAAAACAGTAAAAAAAATAACAAAAATAAAAAAAATTAAATAAAAAAATGAGAATAAAAAAGAAAAAAATGAATTTAAAAATAAAAATTTAATAAAAAAAGAAATAAATAATAATTAAAAAAATAATAAAAGAAAAAAATTAATTTTTAAATTAATTAATTATTAAATTCAAGGGAAAAAATAATTAAAAAATAGAAATTAATTAAAAAATAAAAAAAAAAATAGTTAAAAAAGAAATAACTTTCCGCTGCTCGAGCACTCTGACTCGAGCTCGGATCTCTCAAATGGCAGTCTTGTGCTTTGCTCATTTGGCCATGGCGACTGCTGGGACAGATTAACCCTTAGCCACCTAACGTCTTTTTTAGACACTCTACCACCTAACGTCGGTCAAGGTGACCCCTTACTTAATTTTAGTGTTTAAAGTATAAATATAATAATAAAACACGCAAAAACCGCACATAACTCTTTTGTACCTTTTATTTAATTAATATTAACAAAAAATTAACTTAAAAGTCGTTTCATACTTCAATAACATTTTTTATTCATTGTTATACGAATTTTGTAAGAAAACGTAGATACTTTTATAAAATGAGATCTAATTAGGAAAAAATATTCGAACTTAAAATTTTTTTCTTTTTTTTTTATAACTTAAAAACATGGACTTCAATAATAAATTGTTTTTGGCGCGATTAAATCGCATTAAAATAAAATTGTAACCTGCCAACAATCACAATTTTTGGCGGCATGGTATACACATTTTTTGGGAACATTCAATACAAATTGGATTTTTGCATTCAAAACACATGTGGAATGTTTTGCGTTTCTTTTTGGGATCACATAGTGAACAGGTTTTACGTTTTTCAAATTTTTCTACGTTGTCGGCCAGCGATGCACTGGGTACTTGATCCATTTCCAGTACACGGCGAATAGCGCCATAAACACCTAACGTCGGTCACAATGACCGCAAGCAAAAATGTTTTACCTCTAGTTTTTGAATTGGTACACGTGTTGACTGCCTGATTGCACAAAACGAACTGACGAGAGAAAAGAAAAAGTACATAGACGGACAACTGCGCAGCTTGCATAATAACGGGAATATTTAAAAAATAAAAAACGGTAGAGTCACTGTGACCGGCGTTAGGTGGCTAAGGGTTAAGCAAAATGACATATTTCTTTTTGCACCAGCTGATTTCGAATCATCATATTGCAACATTCAAAGCTGGCTACGATATTTTCGAAATGACTCACTGGCGCCGAGCCGCTGAAGAACTTTTGGCAAATAAACGTGCAAGAAATTGTTCTGATACTAGCAAGTCAATATTCTTATTAAGTCTCATCAAAAAATTCCTTGTCGTTTAAAGGGAATTCCGCATTATACTAAAGCCAGCTTCTCGACATAAGCTACTATTCTATACGAACACATATATAAGGTTCGTTCGCGTAGCTGTTAATTGTTCATGTTTAACCAAAACTTACAAGTTTTTGCGTTCGCGTACGCAAAAAACTTGCAAAGTAGGGGAAATTGAGAGAGCAAACTGACATTTCATTTTGAGGGGAAGCTGTTGGTTTCTGCTGGAAAAATTTTTGCCAACAGGAAAACAGCTGGTTGGCATTTACGCAAATCACAAAATTGAATTTGATGGTTTGGAAGATAAAAATTACAAAATGCGACTAATTAAACTTGTAAGAAATAAGTAGTTATTTGTTTAATCAATAAACTGTGTCAGTATAACACTTTGCGATGACTTTTCGTACGTTTTAAATTTTACACTTCTGTATGTAAACAAAAATTATATCAGCTGTTCGTCTAACTTGCAAGTTTCTGCAAATTTTCTGTTCGCGTACTATTTTGGATATTTCTCTCTTGTGAGAGAACAGATGACATTTCGCCGGAATTTGGCAGTTGGTTGGTTTCTGTTGGAGATTTTAAACGAACGCACCTATAAACATAAACCCCCCTACTATAAATGAATTCATAACAGAAAGGAAAGATTTGCAGCCCGATTCTGTGCACTTCATAAATATAAATTTTTTATAATTTCTAAATTTTTTATTATTTATCAAGAATTGGAATTCTTGCTCAGAAATCAAAAACTCTTTTCTTGATAAATTATCAAGATTGAAAATGCTATTGACAAGTGTTTACAAATTGAAATTTCATATGAAAATTATAAATTTTGTATATTAAAAGATTTGTTTCTATCATTCAAATACTGTATGTGCCGGCATTTGAACCTGCGAAAGACAGAATTTATAGCCGACATCTCTACCTCTCGGCTACGGCAGTCAAAAGCCTTTTTGATTTTAAATTCATATTTTTCATATGTGACAATGAAATCAGTTCTACTCAAGGCACATTAAACAGGTAGTATCAGTAGAGCAAAAATAACATTTGCGTGTATTTTGTTGTTGCTTCTGGTATCGAAAGTGTCAAAAACTGTTCTGAATTTTTTCTTCTAAATCAAAGCGTGCCATGTAAAATACAAAAAATTATAAAAAATAAAAAATTGAAATTGGAAAAAATAAAAATTGATGCAACTTTCTTTCCTAGTAAATTTGTTTGCTTCTCGAAGCATTGATCCATCCTTTGCAAGGCCCAGTAATCAGCGGTCGTGCTGCTGAGTTGGGCGAACGTTCCAAAAGCTGCTATTCAATCGCTTGTTTTGTATGGAAAAAGGTTTCACATGCAAATGGATTTTAACAATTCAGAATTTTTGTGAGCAAAAATTAAAAATATTTGACATTTTCGAGACCAAATAATTTGAAAATAAATCAAATCAGCTGCTCTACTGATACTACCTGTTCAATGTACCTTGGCTCCCCCCATGTGGAAGTCGTAGAGCTTTTTATTTTATAAATATTGACACAAAATTCGATGGGAGCTTTTACTTGATAAAAATCTTAATAAAATTTCTTTACAAATAATTTATCAAGAAAATTCAGAATTGGGCGGTTACAATGAATTGATATTTTTAAATTTACAAAGCTTATAGTAAGATCCAAAAAATTACTAATCCTGCAGCCGGATTCTAACATTTGCAATCGCTAATTTCGATTGCCAAAAATCTCCAATATAATCACCCTCATTGCGAGAGTCGTGTGGATTACAAGTCGTTTTTCGAGAGTCGAATCGTATCGAAAATTTCACGTCATTGCCTAAAATTTGTAGTTTTCAACAATTTTGGTCGTTTACTTATTTCGGTACGAAAATAGACAATGCTACTATTGTCGAGTCGTACAATTTAGCCTAATTTACGACTTACGCAATATACTGCCAGATTTGGCTGATTACACATTTGGGGTATTCACAACAGTGTCGTATTGTTGTATGTAGTAAACTTTAAACGCCTAAAAAACATGTTAAAGGGGTTTGCAAAGGACCATCAAAGTCATATTATGTATTTTCGCAGTGTTAAAAAATAGTTGATTGTGGTTTCAAGTTCTCTAAACATTTATTTAAGCTTATAAAGTTTACGAGATACAACAATACGACACTTACGACATCGCTGTGAATCCCTCAATTATGATTCAATAAATATAGGCGGCATACACGGAGCGTCTGACTCGCGAGTCATTTGTGTACGTGTTGACTCGCCTTTGACTAAACACAGTTGAATCGTTCAGAGTCATTCCAGGAGTCATGTCGGTGTAACTAACCATATTTATTTTCACAAATACATCCAAACCGACTCACGAGTCAGACGCACTGTGTATGTTACCTATTAAGCTTTTTACCAAAAAAATGAACCAAGGTTAAAAAAAATATAATACAAATTAAAAAAA